AGTGCCGACCAGCCTTCCCATGGGGAGTGGAGGAAGACGATCGGGGCCCACGGGGACCGCCCCCCCCCTCCTCGCGGGTTGCTGGGGCGCGGACCGGGGACTGGCTCTACACCTGGGTGCCCCCCACGCCCTGCCGGGCGCACACTCACACTTACACCTCGGCTTGCGCACGCAAGAGCTGCAGGGACCGCGTCTTCCCGGGTGGACGTGGCGATCTCGGTACCGGGCCCCGCCGGGAATCTGGGAATGTAGATTCGTCTGGCTCCGACCGAGCGGAGGAGGGGAAACCCGGCCCGCCGGAGAGTCGGGACTCCGGGAGGATCCCTGGCGCATTTGGATGTCCAGCTGCTGCTTCCCCACCCCGCCCAAGCTGTCACTTTCCTCTCCCTCTGCGCTAAGGATACCACACCCCACCCAGCCCGCTCACCGAATTCTGACTTTGAACCCAAAAGTGGTCAGGCGTGTTTGGGGCCAGGCCACAGCCAGCAGGCGCTCTGGCCCTCTCCAGAGCAGCTGTAAGTGGGCGTCAGTGTCCCTGGGGAGGGGACCCCACCTTGGACCATCCGAGGTGAGGCCAAGCTTTCCAAAGTAGTTTCCAGGGCAGGTAAGAGGCATCCAGTGACCTTGACCCTTCCCCGCGGTCACCTGGGATAGAGGCATTTAAGGTGGGCAGTTTAACGAGGTGATAAATAAGTGAAAATGGCCTGGTAGCCTCTTGAGTTTGAAGCCCCAGCTGAGGCTTTCTTTAGAAAGGGAAAGTTATGAATAGGTTACTCTCAAGGAATTCTGTTACCGGTAATAACCCTGAATGTTAATTGGTCATTTTGCCTTGTTAAAAGTCTTGCAGACCCCTCCAAGTTCTAAGAGGACAAGGGAAAGAATGTTTCTTAGATTTACAACTGAGAGGGAACTATCACATTACTTTGCATTAGGTTATACATTAGCATATTTGTTGAATTGAATTTTCCACTTTCGCTTTTTAATATCTGTCCAATTCTCAACTAGTCTCTGGAAGTTTACAAAGGGGCGGTGGGAGGACTGGTGATGTGTATGCCACAGATGGAGATAGAAAAGCTGCCCAGAACATGCTGACATTAAAAAAAAAATAGTTAACATCCCCCTACACTTTAAAACTGTGATATTAGGGACAGAGTATTATGGCAAAAGTTACTCGTAGAACATCTGTTCCTTCCAGCGGGAGGATTTCTTTCCTGCCAAGAATTTATGAATTTTATATAGGAGCTCGATTCAGTTTAGGGATGGAGGAAGGAAGCCAGCCGAAGGAGCTCCCACCTCAGCCTGGAATGCAGGGATACGAAGATGGTTCTCGAAGTCGCTGGTGGGGATGTGGCTGAGAATGCAAACATCTCAAACGGCCACCCCTAGTTTAAAGTGAGTAGAACAGTACGAATGAAGGTCAAGTCCACACAAGATTCCCAGTCACAGGAGGCCTAATCTTTTTTAGAGGAGAAGGGGGAGAGTTTGTTGATGGGATAAAACCTGCCCAAAATCTTATCAGCTCCTTTCAGATGTTCCTTTCATTTTCACCAGGGCCAGATAAGCCGTATTCCACTCATCTCAAAAACTTCAGTCAGTCCCTGCATCTGCACCCAATAGTCGTTTGCTCCCATTGCTCAATGAGCCTGGTGACTGGAAGGGTTATGTTTCTAAAGCCATCAGAGGGGTGCTCCGACACTAAATGGATTGGCGGTTGAAACATTAATGAGTCTCTTTTGACTCGAGGCAAGTTTATCTAAGTGGTTTTCCAATGATCTCTTCTGCAGAGAACTTTCTGCTCTTGAGAAGGTGTGTGGAGGAGAGCACGTTGCATTCTCAAGCAGACCATTTTAGGTTCTTACCCTTTAAGTGGAATGGGCTTTATTTTTTTCTTTTTTACTTACAGGATTTTAGATGAAACGTGAAAAAAAAATTCAATCCATTTACGTATCAAGAATCTAAATTGTTTCTGTTTAACAGCAAGAGAGAAAAAAAACCCCATAAACATTAACGGTTTAGTACATTTGTTCGAGTTAACAAGTATTAAGCACTTACTGCATGCCAGGCACTTTGTTAGGCATCCGGTCTGATATATGTCACATCTCAGGTAATGATAAGTACCATGGGGGAAAAGCAAGCATATTAAAATATACAAAACCCCTGGACAGTGGGAGGGCTCTTTTAGTATGGTCAGGGAAGGCTGCTCCAAGGAATTGACATCGGAGTGTCCTTCTAGAACTTTCCCAACACAAATATACCCAAAACACATAAACAGATATATTTTTACCAAGTTCGGTCATATTATATAGGTGTTTCTCCCTCCAGTTAACTTCTCCTGAACATTCTTCTGCATATAAAGAGTGCATGACTCAAGAGTTGGATAGAATGGGGCAGGGGGGTGGGGAGCATATCTCAGTGGTAGAACACATGCTTAGCTTTCACAAGGTCCTGGGTTCAATTCCCAATATCTCTAATAAATTAAAAAAAGAAAGAAAGAAAAAAAAACAAGTAGAATCAGGTTTAAATTCCAGCTTTGCTCCTCACTGGTTTTGTGATTCCAGGCAGGTTATCTAAGCTTTCTTTGCCTCAGGTCCCTCATTCTTAAAATGAAGAGAAAGGTGATGCCGGCCTCATACGGTTATTGAGGGGACTAAATGAAATACGCGTAAAATGCTGAGTGTAGGGACAGCATGTAGTAAACCTTAAAAAACGTCAGCCCTCACTATTGTTTACTGGATAATTCTAATGGAGCGTGGTAGTGCATTCTAAGGACTTACTTTAACCCATGTCATACTATTGAACAGAAAGAGCTGGATATAAACGTACCTCAGACAATATGAACTATAGGGAGAAAAAGAAAACAACAAAACCCCAATGTAGAAAATGTGCCAAAGCAACACGTTTTTTTAGGAGCGACTCTCTCCTTCTGCCATCCCTGACGCTGAGTCTCGCTCACACATTAAAAATCTGACCATTTACAGAGAAAGACAAATATCATATATCATTTATATGTGGAACCTAAAAAAAAAGATACAAATCTTATTTACAAACCAAAAATAGACTCATGGGCGTAGGAAACAAACTACGGTTACAAAGGGGAAAGGGCGGGGAGGGATAAACTAGGAGTTTGAGATTAACAGATACACATTACAATATATAAAATAGATAAGCAACAAGGACCTACTGTGTAGCACAGGAAACTGTATTCAATTTCTTGTAATAATCCATAATGGGGAATCTGAAAATATATATATATATATGTCTGTATACAAATAACTGAATCGCTTTGTTGGACACCTGAAACTAATATTGTAAATCCACTGCACTTCAATAAAAAAAAAAAGTTAAAAAAAAAATCTGTCCATTTACCACCTAGGCTTAAGTTCCAGAACGTTTGTGTCTTGCTTAGCAGGTAAATCTCTGGCCTGATGCAGACTGAGGATGAGGGTCTGCAGAAGTCTCAGGCTGGAATGAGATTCTACGGCGGCACAACTGTGGGGCGCTTGGGGGCCTCAGCTTCCCCCCTGAGCAAAGGAAACTCCAGGTGAACTGTTTCGTGAATGCCTTCTGGCTGGGGCTCTCATTTGTTCCTTGAGTCTTAACTAGCTCCCAGCCTGGGCTCCCGTGCTCTGAACAGCCTTGCCTGCTTCAGAGATCTGAAATGTCACCCTGAGTCACTGGTCCATGCCCTGAGGCACAGAACCAGATCTATTTTAGGTTGAGATCCCATTTAGGGGAAAAGGGATTATCTTCAGATATCGGGAGCTCGAGGAGAATGTTGGCAGAGCGTTGTGGAAGATGGCAGAGAGGCCGTGTTTCCCATGGGACGTGGCTGAGAACATGGGCTCGAAGTCCAGCGCGCCAGGGTGCCACTCCTTCCCGCTCACTTCCTCTTGGGCACTCTCCATCCAAGGGGGCCTCAGAGCATGTGATCTCCAGCAAAAGACACTCTCTTAGGCCAACCTCCAACTGGCCCAGCTATCAAAAGTGCTGCTAGTCTTTATTCTGTTTATTCTAATAGAACGGATACACGTGTAAAGTGCTTTGGAATCAGTGAATGAAATGCCCGGGAAGAGAAGCAAAGGCTTATTTACTTCTGATGATTTTATAGAGGCCGTAGGGTTGCTATGATGCTGAAACAGACTGCCTTTTCCTGAGTCATTATCCAAACTGGAGCAGAGAAGCATGTGCTGTATTTTAATGGAATGGCCGATAAGATGACTTGTTTCTATTAGAAAGAAGGATAGATTAGGTCAATCTTGTCCATATAGCTTCCTGCACAGCATAACCCCTGTTTAGTTTAAAAAACAAACACATTCCAAGGAGGTGAGGAACAGATAAACCCCAGCCCCTTCCAAATGAAATTAGTTTTACTTTATCTGGGAGGTGATGTGATGTGGCAGAAACAGCCTGAGCTTAGGAATCAGGTAGACCTGGGCTCTCATCACAGCTGTGTGACCTTGGGTAAGTCACTTGACTCCTCTGGGCCTCAGTCTTCTCAACTACCAAGGGTGCATAATAACAAATTCCTAAACATCTAGAGCAGTTCTTGGCATACCACAGGTACTCAATGAATATGAATGCTTTTCATCTGCTTCCAGCTCACTCAACCAGCAAATCCAGGTTCCCAGTACCTTCATCCAAACAGGCAAGAAATGTTTTCCTGCGGTCAATGACAAAGACAAAGGATCAAGAAACCGAAGAGTTAAAAAGAAAATAAACAAACAAATAAACCATGTGCCTTAAACCCACAGTCTAAGAAATTGTTCCTGCTCACGCAGTTTCTATTCCAAGTTTTCTGTTGCCATTCTGGGAACGTTGTCAAAGCAAATGTTAGTTAAAAATTGTTTACCAAAGGACAGGTAGTTAAACATCACGCACAGCTGAGAGTATTGTTATCACAAACCTGAAATAATTTTTCTCAAACCCTTGATTTACGAAGGAAGACATTGGACAGAAGTGTTCAAATATGGCCTGAGGTGGTCAGAGGATTTCTTTTTTCTTTCAGTTCTTTTTGTAGATTTACTATCTGATCAGACTTCTGTAGTGCTTTTTTTATTTTAACAAAGTGTCCTGCATTCTAATTAAGGAAATAGTAACTAAAAACGTGTGTGTACCTATACCTGTGAGTTATTGGTCAGTTGCTAAATAGATTTCTGGCTCAGTATTACTGGAGCCCAGGTAGACTCCACCACTCGTAGAGAAAACCAGTCTATCTCACTTCCTTCATCAGTGCAAACATCCAGCCCTGCAGTTTCATCAATTTTTTAGCAGGCAGGATTGATTGTATATCAGGGCACGAAAATGAAAATAAAAAACTAAACCTGGAAGAGGGCATGTGTTCCCCAATGCAAATTGAGATCC